CGAACCCCAATTGCATGCGCTTAAGAGAGAGGAGAGAGAAGGGAGAGTGAGTGAGTGAGGTGTGAAATGAAATGTGTTGAGTTAGCAATGAAATTTGTTGGAGAAAAAATGGAATGAATTTTTTAACGAGTCGGGCCCAAGCCCATAAAATAGGAACCCAAAATGGTCTGCATAACTGACACTAGGCACATTTTTAGAATAATAATACCAACATAACAATTTGTTGGGGGTGTGAATCTCATGCCATAAGGAAAAATATCATCTCCATGACCGGAGAGAAAAATTCTTTTTTTATGTTACTTTGAAGGGTAGAAGTGTAATTTTATCAAAAATAAAAATGACAAAAATGATATTACATATTCCACTTTTTTTGGTTTTTTTGTACTTCCCTTTCCATTAATGGAGATGAGTCTTACTTATACCATAAGCACAATATATTATCTATACATTATTTTGCATTTTTTTAAATTCAATAATGATTAAAAATAAATGATAAATAATAAAATGATAATGCATAAAACTGTTACACTGTCAACATATATGTTTTTTCTCATATAACAATGTGAATTAATAATCGCATAGTAAATAAACTATAATTTTATCACACATATAATTTTATCAATATAGAAATATATCATTTTCCATCTAAATGCATGCAAGCATAACACCTATTTTTGTATGGGTAAAGTGTCTAATTTTAATATATCTGTTTTATTTGACCTACTTGCTTGCAAGTATTCATATTGAGCAACATGGGCAGTCTCATTGACCTAATATTTAAAAATATTAAAATTCTAGTAAATTTTGATATATTTTTAAAAGAATTATGATACAATAACCTTTGTGTAATTTCATATATATTTCTTTAAAAAAAGTATATGTGGACACCTATCTATTTCAAAATGTAGGGTAGCTAAAATTTAATATATGATTAATGTGATTTCATTATAATCAAATGTATATATATATCATTGAATATTACATTTTTCTTTATTTTTTGAAGCAATTGTTTATCAATTAATGAAAATGATATGTGTTATTGTCTTAGACTACTAGTAATAATGACTAACGAATTTTTATATTACTTCATCAAAAATAAAATCCTAAAATCATAAAATAATATATTTATATTACTTCATCAAATATGATTGATTATAAACATCATGGAAATGGTATCCTTGTTCGAATGGAAAATGTTTTCCTATTCAATTATTCATCAATCACATCCCAACTTTGGGCTTTTGTTTTCTGTCGCCACCATTAAGGACCACCAACATCTCCGTCTTAGGACCTTCATCCTGCTTCTTGTATCTCTTGTATATGTCACTTTTATAAAACTCTAATGTCCTCGCTACCAATATGAGCGAAATAATGGCTCCAAAGCAAGTTGCTGCAGTGATAATAAAGAATGATAACTTGAAGCAATTTGCACCAACACAATTCAATTCTTGACCAATCCTTCTTTCGACCCCGTTTGATAGCGATTGTCTCTTAGCTTCTTTGTCATACAAATGCCCAGTGACCATCACATTAAGCAGATATAGCCCAATTGGACTTCCTACTCCGACCAAGTTATAGAGAGTAGCAAAATACTTGAGTCCAAATAACTCTGATATTATGGCAAAAACTAAAGGCATTTGTGCACCAAAACAAAACCCAATGATTACTGAAGCTACATAGAGACCATTGGGTACATCAAAGGCTATTAGAAGATGACCAGCACATGATACGATTAGTGTCATACTAAGTAGGATAGTTCTAGGAAACTTGTACTTTGTTAGCAAATGTTCAGAAACAAACCCAGAAAAAATACGTCCTAGGTAACCCCAAATGCTCACTAGGGACACAAATGTGCTTATGTTTTCCTTTGGGTATCCTAGAGATGTTCCAATCTGACCCATGTTGTCCATTGCTGTTAAAGTACCCCCACAACCACAAATGCTAGCGATGAATAGTATTAACATGTCAATGCTGAAAAGGGCTTGAAGTATGGTATAGTCTTCACCTCTTTCTGGGGGACTAAAAATATTTTGCCACCATCTTGTTTCTTGAACTTCTGTGGAATCTCTTGCATCATCACTATTTGATGTTGGGGCTAGTGAAAGAGAGTAGGATTTATCATTCTTGTCTTCAGATACTGTTTCCACCGGTAAGGGGTCAACAAACACAGGGTTTTGGCTCTGCTGGATCTTAAATTGTTCGCAGAAAACAACCACCAATGGAAGGAAGAGCAATAAAAGTACCACAGCAGCACTTACACCATACTCACTTTGTGTGAAAGGAACTTTTCTTTGTACTATGATCATAATCAATAGAAACCCAGCAAGGCCAAGTGAAGTATACAAAAACTTATAGAAAACACTGAGCTCATTAGGCTGATGAGTGACCTTCATATATCTAACAATTCGAATAAAAACAAAGGATATAGCAGCTGGAAGCCAAGCAATGAGCAAAATCAAATCCTTAGTATCATTGTAGTAAAAAGCAAAGTAGAGTTGTGTAATGATAGCTCCGCTAAGACCTACATAACCTTTGAGGAGGCCTATCACAACCCCACGGGTTTGTGGGAAGTTCTTGACACAAGTGACAAAGGAGCCAGTGTTGGCAAAAGTTTGAGAGTTAGCACCTAAGTAGATATACAAGCACATGTGCCATACTTGAGGTTTGGCTATTCTTCCAGTCACAGCTAACCATATCATAAAGTAGCCAAAGAAGTTGAGAACTGAACCTATGGCTAGTACCACCCAGGGCGATGTGATCTCATTAATTAGACCAGAGAGGACACCAACGTTGGCACCTAAGTCCTTGAAGAAACTGATGAGGTTGAGAGTGGTTTGGTCATAACCAAGAGAAGTTTTAATATCATTAGAGTAGAGACCAAACATGTAGGTGGCTCCAGAGACTGACAAAATTATGAAGGAGACAAACACCACAAACCATCGACCAGTGATGACTTGGATGGTGAGGCCCTTCATGTCAGACATAGACATGTGAGGAACACTTTTTGCACGAACCGCCATGTTTATGAGTAGTGGGAAAAGTTGAGTTCTTCTGAATTGAATAGGTGATGAGGATGTGGTAATAAATTATTGCCAAGCAGAGAGATATTCCTGTCCAGAATCTTTTGTTGACTTGCAGTCTTTTGGGGACCATTCCTTTTTTAAATATATTTTAACATTTCTTTTTTTTTTTTGTTATATTAAGTATTCAATTTTTATATATTTTATTTTATACAATTAAAATGTTTTTGTATTAAGAGTACTTCATGCTAAAAAATATTTATTATAATTCAATTTAAGGTGAGATGTGTGACAAATATGCTAATGATAGTTACTTAAGATTATATGTTTTTTTGTAGAAATTAAAAAATGTAAGGACAAAATAGGAAAATATAAATTACACCATGATGATAGTTATTTCATGTTTTGAATTTGTATATAGTATAGATATAAAAATTAAAAAATGTAAGGGCAAAATAAGAAAATAGAAATTACACCATGATGATAGTTATTTCATGTTTTGACTTTATATATAGTATAGATATATAGTATAGATATAGATATTATATATATTTATATTTATATAATATTTATATAAATATAAATATAATATGATATATATATAGAAATATAATTATTATATATATATATAGAAATATAACTATTATATATATAGAAATATAATTATTATATATAATATAATAATATATATTATATATTATATATAATATATAATCCATTGTATAGTGTGTTGAGAGGCACTCACGTGCTTGTCAACCCGCTTTTATATTGAATGAATTGTAATTGATTTTGTATATTTTTATTACATTTTTCATAACTATAACAAAATCAACAAAACATGATTTGCAATTTTGCACGTTAAAAAATTAAAATGATAAATTGTCGTGTTCAAATATTGCATTGATTCATGTCGAAAATTTGTCATGTTCAAATGGAAAAACCGTAAAAGTTACATAAACAAGCATGAAACTTAAAATGAGGAAATATGTTATATGTTTTTTTGGTAGAAAATATAGATTAGTAAGGGAAAATTGGAAAACACAAATTACAACATCATGAGTATTTATTTTATGTTTCCCTATTATATTAGTATAGATAATATAATAATATATATAGTATATTTATTGAGATACCTCATGATTCTAAGGATCAGTCGAACTGTATCCAGTTCAAGCTCGGGTCATTTGGTTCATGAACTAAGTTTGTAAAGCTAAGTAACAAGTCAAACTTTAAATGAATATTGAATTGGTTCGGTTCATTAATCGTGTGTTATTTTTTCTTTATATAATGCACATTTTTATCTTTTTTTCTCTCTCACCCCATACATATTTGGTAAGTTGTTTTGATTCTTTCTTTTATTTAATTGCCCGTGTGTTATGTTTTTTTCCTTCTTTTTTTACCTATTAAAATGCTTTTGCGTAGTTATTTGGGTGCGTGAGAAATATTAGAAACACGTTTCAAAAATATCAGAAAGTGTCCAATAAAGTATATGTTGTATGATTTATTTATTTTTGAAAAAAAATCAATATTATGGTGTGTGTTTGGTATAGATTAAGTTTTTAGTTTTAGTTTATAAACTTTTAAATTATAAACGGTTAAAATTACAATCTGTTTATGTTTGGGTACCTTAGCTGAAAATTGAATATAAACTAATTTGTTTTATTTGGATAAAGTAGAAAGATTGTTTTTTACATAGTAAATTACAGAAAATGACAATGTTATTAAAACCATATCGGTTATTAAACCAGTCAGGATACTGATATAGTAATACAATGGTTCAAATGGTTTAGTAATTAAACCGCATATCAATTAAACTGCATATACCTATTTCTATTTATATATATATAAATCTATAACGGAAAAATTAAATGATATGTATTTCTACAATATGAGCCGTTAAGAATATGAGGAGAATAATTAAAAACAATTTCATTATTACTAAAATTAAAATTATGAGTAACAGATAACCAATTCCATTATTCAAAGCATAAACAATTCCACTCCATTATTCAAACCATTAAAGATTCAAAATAATCAATACCAACAGAACAATACAAAATAGAGACAATAACCAATAACATTCACTTATATGAGCATTGAATAAACAAAACCATTTCCGTCATTGCAGCAAAGGGTTGAAGAATTGAGGTGCAAAGGTTGAAGAAAACCCTTTGCCCAAAACGACGCAGTTTAGGGATGGGGTTTCTATATATATATATATATATATATATATATATATATATGTATACGGCTGTTTTTAACCGGTTTCCACCGGTTTTGTTGCTTATCCGGTATAATACCTGTGTCGTACTGGTTAGGGGTCCGTTTCGCTAGTTTTCCAGTTGAACCAGCCTGTCCGGTACAGTTTTTATAACCATGGAAAATGATACGAGGTTATTTGTTTATGTTATGATTATTTTGGTTGTTTTTTATACTATTTTTTTAATATTTATCATCATATATTTTTACTTTAATTTTGTAATATTGCATAACAAAGGCTAAAATAATATATATTAAAATAAAATACAATATAAAAACTAATATTAATATAAAAAACAACATAAGATTAACATAAACAAATAACCTCATACGTAGTTAAACATAAACTAAAAAAATAAATCAACCCATGATTTTTAATATTGCATAAAACAAAGGATAAAAAATATATTTAAATAAAATAAAATATAAAAACCAATATCAATATTAAAAGCAATATAACACATAAATAAATGGAAGTTACTAAACTTAAATTACATAATTCACAAAATAAATGATACATAGATGTTAAGTTTTATACAAAAGTTTTAGGGTTTATACATAATTCACAAAATTTTAATATTATATAACAAAGTTTTATACATAATTCTTTGTTCGTGTATAGATAAAGGAAAATAGTATGGGTGATGAAAGAGAGAAAAATGAGAGTTATGGAGTTTGGTGGTGATGATGTAAAGAATTATGATTTTGTGATGGAAGAGTAAAAATAACGAGAGATATAAAGTTATGATGTGCTAAAATGAGAAATAGAAAATTTGGTAAAAAAATAAGCTATAAATAAATAAATCAACCCATGATTTTGGAGCTTATATTTTTAGATTATTTTTTCAGAAAAAAACTGAGTTTATAAACATGATATATATTTTTAGTTTATTTTTCAAAAAATAAAAATAAACCACAATTTTTAATCCATGCGAACATGACATAGGAATGATATTAAAGAATACCAGAATAATATTAAAGTATCATGGCTTCATTTACCTTCACATATCATCCCATAAGTTTGAATCTTATGAAGGAGTTGTCTCCCTGTAAATACCAGGGTCCATTTATGATATGTATAATATGAGGTTAAAAATAAACATAAAACATAAATAAGCGAATTTTATTTCCACAATTATAAAATTATATCAAACATACGTCCGTACAATTTTCATCTCCATTATCACACTCACACGATTGTAAGTTTTTATAATAAAATGAATATTATCTCGTGTCAATCAAAATATTATTTTTGTTTTTAAATATTTTCTTTTATTTATAATAATATGTTATTGATCCATGAAATAGAATGAAACAGAGACTGACCCCATGAAACTTGAACAAAGATTTCATGTTTTCAAAAATTCATATCTTAATGTCTCAAACCAATCATATCTCACAGTGGGACATCAAATCTTGGGACATGCGATCTCCATAATCTACAAAAGGTTAATTAGTTTATTAACTACAACTAGCAAGTTATCCGTGCATATGCACGGGACAATATTTTTTGCAGCAGGATTAATATCACATATTACATGTGTATTCATATGGTTAAGAATATATGTTATTCACACATTCACATGTTTAAAAATATATAGATTATATATATCACATGTACATTCGTATTTTAAGAACAAACATACAACTCATACATTTTAATGGTTAAAAACACAAATGTTACTCGTGCATTCACATTGCTAAGAAGAGTATATGTTACCTATACATATGTTACTCGTACAAACATGTGTCTTTTAAACAATATATTCAAATGATTAAAAATACACATGTTACATTACATTCGTATTGTTAAGAACAAACATGTGACTCATACATTTTAATGCTTAAAAACATATATGTTACTTGTACATTCACATTGCTAAGAAAACACATGTTATCTATACATTCACATAGTTAAAACACACATGTTGCCCATATATTCACATCGGTAAGAACACTCATGTTACCCGTATTACCAATTCAAGAATAATTTTATAAAATGGTTGTATTTTCATCAATAAAACTATAAAATTCTATTATTATTATTATATCTTATTAAATAATATATTGGGTAATGAACAATGGGTAAATATATATTTTATCATGTGTGAGAGATTGTATAAAGTGAAGTGTCTTTATTGTGAGTGTCCTTTTTATTATCATTATATGTTTTTAAATAATATAATATGTAATTAATGGGTAATGTGTACTTTTATCTTGTGTGAGAGATTCTACTTTAAGAACGTGAGATGTTTTGGGAGGGAAAATTTTTGTTGAGGTAGTGACACTTGTAATGAAATGACATGAGAGAACATTTTTTTCTTATATAGTATATAGATAACCAAAATTTCTATAGAAAAAAGTTACATTCAGCTTTTTAAATATATTTGTATATATTTATTATTAATATTTTTTAAAAAGCCTAAACTATATAAAAAACAATAAAATGAACATTTTTATCATTTAAATATAATTAATTAGATGATATTTTTATTATTTAGATATAATCAACCACCTTTTCTCACTTTTGGAGGGAGCTAGATAAATGGAAAAGTATTAGAAACATGAAATAACTTATGAAAGAAAAACAAACCTACATTATCCAAGGGAAATGAGTACTTCTAATCTTCAATTTTTCAAAAATCACAACCCAACTTTTGGTTCTTGTCCTCCCTCGCCGCCGTTCTGAACCACCGCCGGTTGTACTAGAGGCTGCTCCTTGTACCGCTGGTAAAGATCACTTTTATAAAACTTAATTGTCCTAGACACCAAAACCAGCGAAATAATAGCACCAAAGAAAGTCGCTGTCGTGATAATAATGAAGGACAACTTGAAGCAACTTGCACCAACACAATTCAATTCTTGACCTACTTTTCTTATGACCCTTGATGCTACCAATTGCCTATTAGCTTCTTTGTCATACAAATGGCCAGTGACTCTCACATTAAGAATATATAGCCCAATTGGACTAGCCACTCCTCCAAAGTTGTACAAAGTAGCATAATACTTAAGTCCAAATAGCTCCGATATTATGGCAAAAACTAAAGGCCACTGTGCACCAAAACAAAACCCAATTATAACTGAAGCTGCATAGAGACCATTAGTTACATCAAATGCTATCAAAAGATGACCAACACATGATAAGAGGAGAGTCAAAGTGAGCATGAGAGTTCGAGGGAACTTATACTTTGTTAGACAATGTTCTGAAACAAAACCAGAAAAGACACGTCCTAGGTAATTCCAAATGCTCACTAAGGATACAAAAGTGCTTATGCTTGTCTTTGGGTATCCTAGTGAAGTTCCAATTTGACCCAAGTTATCAATTGCTGTTAGAGTACCACCGACACCACAAGTGGTAACGATGAATAATATTATCATGTCTATGCTGAAAAGTGCTTGAAGTATTGTATAGTCCTCACCTCTCTCTGGTGGACTAAACACATTTTCCCACCATTTTGTTTCTTCAGCTTCTGTGGGAACTCTTGAAGTTGAAAGAGAGCTAGGATTAGAGTTACTATTCTTAGCTTCAGTAGCTATTTTCACCGATGATGGGTCAAAAAATGCAAGTTTTTGGTTCTGCTGGATCTTAAATTGTTCACCAAAAACAACAGCAAGAGGGAGGAAGAGCATGAAAAGCACCACAGCAGCACTCACACCATACTCACCTTGTGTGAAATGCACCTGTTTCTGCACTACAATCATAACAAGTAGAAACCCAGCAAGACCAAGTGAAATATACAAGAACTTGTAGAACACACTGAGCTCATTAGGCTGCTTAACCGGCTTCATATATCGAATGGTTCGAAGAAAAACAAAGGAAATAGCAGCTGGAAGCCAAGCTATGAGCAAAATCAAAGCCTTTGTGTCATTGTAATAAAAAGCAAAGTATAGTTGTGTGATGATGGCTCCACTAAGACCAACATAGCCTTTGAGAATGCCCAACACAACCCCACGGCTTTGTGGGAAATTCTTTACGCACGTGACAAGGGATCCAGTGTTTGCAAAAGATTGAGAGTTAGCACCTATGCAGATGTAGAGGCACATGTGCCACACTTGAGGTTTTTTTATTTTTTTGGTCACAGCTAGCCATATCATGAAGTAACCAAAGAAGTTGAGAACTGAACCCATGGATAGTACAACCCAGGGTGGTGTTATCTCATTGATTAGGCCAGAGAGAACACCAAAGTTGCCACCTAAGTCCTTGAAGAAACTAAGGAGGTTGAGAGTGGTTTGGTCATAGCCAAGTGTTTCTTTTATGTCTGAGGAGTATAGGCCAAACATATAGGTGGCTCCGGCGGCTGCCATGATTAGGAAGGAGACAAACACCACGAACCACCTACCGGTGATGACTTGGATGGTTAGGCTCTTCATGTTGGCCATAGATCCGTGACCAACGCCTCCTGTTGCTACTGTCATGTTTATGATAGTAGCAGTAGCAATAGGAGTTAGAGTTGTTCTGAATAGGTGGGGAAGTGGTAATCAATATATAGACTCTTTGGTTGACTCCTAATCTTTGGGGAATCATTCCTCTCTAATAAAATATTATTATCGATTAGCTTACTCATTATTATATTCACTTCATAATTTTATATTTATTTATTTAGAAACATAATATAATTTATAGTTGATTAGCATTGGATAATATTTCATTAGATCATCAAAGGGTAAATGTTTAATTTCTAAAAGCAATAATTATTGAGAGATACATATATCTCGTTGAGACTTTATTTTTGGTTATACTAAAAAATATATATAATATAATGAGGAGTATAATTGTAAAGTTATGTTTTATCTTGTGAGGTTAGTAGGTGTTAGGAATGGCTTAATATTAAAAAAAGTTGAAGTTTGAATAGTTTAAACCGGTCATGTTTTCTTGAAATCTCACTAGCCGGTAGTTCAAAGTTTGAACATGAGGAAAGGATGGATTGACTCTAGCTGGATATGAAGAGTCGTCGGTGTTCATGAGTCTTCTTTGGGTCTGCAACTTCATAGTCAAGTGTTTCACCCACCTGGTAGGATCCTTACTCTATGTTGGAGTAATCAGTATAATGTATATTTCAACCAAAAAACAAATGAGTGATTTCTGTAATTTCTATAAAATTCAAAGGTGTATGTGTAATTTACTCTTTTAAGAAGCTCATCCTCCACCTATTTCCAGAAACCTCTATGAAGTCTCCCTCCAACGCTATCCAACCCCCTCAACCATTTTTAAGTCCCGCCACCAAAGAAATTTCATATGGTCCATCAGCCACTTTTCATTGAGAAGCAATTTGATCCCCATATTTGGACTACAAGACTTTAGACCAAAGCGTTTCACTCTCAATAAGCAACTTCCACAATCACTTATCTAGAAGAACAATATTGAAAGAATCTAGATGTTTCACACCCAAACTACCCTTGTTATATCCTTATAAACCGAATCCCACCTAACCTAAGTGATTTTCCTATAACCATCTACACCTCAAAGTCTCTCTAAATTTTAACCATCTCCTTAATCACAAACTAAGGCGCTCGTTAGAATGAAAGCAGATAAACTGGAATGTTGTTACCGTAACTTGCAGCAATTCTAAATGACACGAAATAATACTTAATGGCTGAGTCACGACCATGTCGCTCTCTTTAAGACGATTCGTAGTACTGCCCAAAAATGTACAAGCAGACTATCAACCACGTCGTCACCAGGATAAAACAGTTCAGTTCTCTGTTATGCGATTTCTTACTGCAATGTAAGAATCGTTCTTAAATACACCAACTACTATATGGCTACCAGTGCAAATTCTCGGAATTTCCATAGTATGACGATCAGTGCCAATTCTATTCCCACAATCTGCCTGTGCCAATTCTTAGTGCCACATAAAGAAAGGGTGAGAAGTTTGCCGGAAATGCATCAGCAGAAATTATGAGTGAGAAAGAAAAAGTTAAGTAAAAACGTATTCAATTTGGTGCAAGAAAATATGAAGGGGAAGACTTCTATTTATAGCATGAGATTTTGTGAAGACTCTTGCATCCTCTAATGTAGGATTTGTGAGATTTTTTCAAAATCTTCTAATGTGAGACTTGTGAGGTTTTTAAAAAATCTTCCAATAATTCAACATCCAAGGAAGTCCCACATTAAACGATACCACACGACCACCAAAGGGAAGATTTTGACTCTCCCAATAAGCTAATCTCTTTGACATATTGGAAACCATGTCTCTCGAAACCTCCTTTCTCCTATAATTAGCACCCACCGGAATCCCCAAAAACTTCAAAGGCCAAGAATCCCTCTTACAATTTAAGTATCCTGCCATACCATCCACAAAACCAGAAGGAATATTGACGTCAGACAAACTACATTTGTTGAAGTTTACCTTTAGACTAGAGCAAGCTTCGAAGAGTTGAAGAATATACTTCATAACAATCACATTCTGTGATGATGGTTACCCAATTATAACTGCATCATCAGCATATTGAAGCCGACTATCCCCAACCTTCTCCCTACCAACCTCATATTCCTCGAACTTATGATTTGAAACCGCCGACTTCATCAGGCCATTAAGGCCCTCTGCAACTAACAGAAAAAGGAACGTGGAAAGAGGATCACCTCTAATGCCACACGACATATTCACCTTCCTTGTAGGACTGC